TCCGCCTCCCCGGGTGCAGGGCCGAGGCCCGGGGCGGTGCTCACCACTGCTCGGCGAGGAACCCTGGGGCGAGGGGCAACTTCCCGCCCTGGATTCTGGGGTGTGGGTGTTCTGGAGCCACTTTCTGGGAGTCTGAGTCTACCTTTGGAAAGCTCAGGCTCTCCCGGAGCGGGAGCTCAGGCCACGCCTGGACCCCCAGGCTGGGAAAGAGGGACAGGCGGCCACCACGGAGAGGGAGGCCTTGAGGCGAGTGGACGGGGAGGTCCTCAGGGCCAAGTGGCACAAAGGGGCGCGATCAAGGAGGCAAGACTGCTGAGAGACACCCCCGAGGCCAAAGGGCTTGGAGGGGAGGGGGCGCGGCTACTGGCCGCCAAGGACAGCGAAGGAGACTGGGGGAGACATGGCGGACACGTAGGCCTCGGCGGGGCGCAGACGCGGGACGGGCTGGATGTGAGGAGGGCTGGTCCCAGCCCAGGCCCCAACGCGGAGAGGGCGAGGGCCTAGGCGCGGATGGCGCGTCTCTGGCTGGGGGAGAGCCAAAGGCAGGGCACCCCGAGAGGACTACAGGTCCTTTTGTTCATCAGACGCCCAGCTTCTAGAGGGGCCACGGGCTGTCTCCAATGGCTGAAGTTCCTCCTTGCCTTTAGCACTGGGAGAGAAAAAGGCAGAGAGGCGACAGGCATCGAGATAGAGGCTGACACATAATTGGGGAAAGGAGGAGAGGATATCAGGAGACAGAAAAGGAGACAGAGAAGTCAGGAGGAGGGAGGAAAGAGGAGACGGCGGCGGGGAGGAGGCGGTCAGAGAGGACAGGCGGGGAAGAAGTGAAGGCTGCAGAGAGTCGAGGAGAAGACGGGCAGGAGCGGGCAGGGAGCGGGCGACGGGGCCGCGTGGGCACCGAGGCCCCAGCCCGGGCGCTCCTGGTAGGGTTTTGGGGTGGGCTTTTCGAGGCTGGCCCTTGCGCTCCCGCTCCCGGGGTCAGGCGCGGAGAGAGCCAAGTTACCCCGCAGCGAAGGCGCCGGGCAGAGAAATATGTAAATCAGACTCCTCGCGCCCAGAGCTGCGCGATCACGCCCCTCGAGCGAGGAGCGACGAGCTCCGGGCTGGCGAGCTGCAGAGGTGGCGGCGTCGCGGGGGAGGGATCGGCTGCTGGAAGGGGTGTGGAGAGTGGGAACCTCACACCCTCACACCTAGTCCCCAGCGTCCCGGGCCGGGGCTCCCCCCTCCTCTGCTCTCGGCTCCTTTCCCTTCCCCCTTCCTCCCCCTTCCTCCCCCTCCC